CCTCTATGACTGGAAACCGTGTTGTAGGTGAGGGCAGGTGAGCTTAGATTCAGGTGCGGTTCCTCGGGACTTTGTAAGTTAAGGGAAACACATAGAGAATCAACCATCCACGGAAGGGTATCCAAATGCCACATTTAGCTGGAGGAACCCAAAATAACTCTGGGGAAGGTCGTGGGCAAATGACAGGGAAGGGGCTGCGGGGAAAGGGCTGTCGGAGAGCTCTGCCTGATTGTGGTATGAGGTGTATCTCTAGGAGCAGAACCAGAAAGGGAAATCGCAGAGTGAGAGCACAAACAGCACAAAGAAAGCCCAACGGAACATTCGTATGACCCGTGAGGAACGTCACAGCGCAATCTGAATGTAGGCTCCCCCTAAGTCCGGAGTGAGCCACATTTCCATTCTTCTTGGTTGTGATTGCTGTAAGGCTGCAGCAACTTCCCTGAGCCTCCTGTGTCACGGCACACAGGAGTGGGACTGGTGACAAAACCTGAGAAATACCCCTCAGGAGTGAACAGTCAACGGGGACTTAGCATGTTCTGTGATCTTCTGCAGGCTTATTAGTGGAAAGAAAACCTTCCCCCTGCCCCCTGTCAATTGCTTTGAGCCCAACTTGACATATTTCACTTTCAGACATTTCACTTCCCTTTGTACCACCACTTACAATTTACAAATGATGGTCTCGATTCGAAAATAGTACAAGTTGGATAATAGTGTTAACACATTGCACTAATTCCATGCCCGTGGCATGGTAGCGTGCAATTTATTCTGGTCTCGCAGATCGCTATTTACCCTCTGTTGTATTTGCAGATATACATTTAGTAGTAAATGCTAATTGGAAATGTCAGGATTTTTCAATCTAATTAGTATAATTGCTTACACAAGAGGAGAAGTCTTTACTTTTTTTTTTTCAACGTTTGTTTATTTTTGGGACAGAGAGAGACAGAGCATGAACGGGCGAGGGGCAGAGAGAGAGGGAGACACAGAATCGGAAACAGGCTCCAGGCTCTGAGCCATCAGCCCAGAGCCCGACGCGGGGCTCGAACTCCCGGACCGTGAGATCGTGACCTGGTTGAAGTCGGACGCTTAACCGACTGCGCCACCCAGGCGCCCCTTTACATTTTTGATGTAAATCCATTTTCAGTGATTGCCAAAAAGGCTAGTGTTGCTTCTGTTTCCTAGGTTACCGGTGAGAGTCGTGCTTGTCAAGCCTCTGAGTCTCTTGACATATGAAAGCATTTGCAGAGATGAAACTCTGAGGAAGATGCCAGGCGCTTGTCAAAGACCCTGCCCCCCCTTTTTTTTCCTGGTCTCATATGCTCCAAAAAGAATTTGTAAACTTGGACTTCAGATTTTTCTGCTCTAATTGTGAATCCAGTCATGTGTGAGTCAACCCCTGCTTAAACTGTGTTTAAAGTTGGAGAGATTTTAAATCTGTCAGAAAGACACAGCTCAGTGTCCGCCGATCTCCATGTAGCAAGCACGCAGCAGCAAAGGTGGACATCACAGGTGCGTGTTATTTCTGGGGGTGTGGAAAAACCGAGTTGGCAGTGGGAAAGTCAAGCTGTCTTTTGAGAACTTCATTTCCAAATTGCCAGTAACGTGACAGAAGTTCACTCGGAGAATTTTTTCTGCAAATAGCGTAGTTTCAGAAACAAACCTACAGAGCCCGGTTCAGCTACATTTTTTCTTCCCGAGCACCATGACCTGACACCATGGATGACAAAAAGGACACGACAAATATCAGCCCCTCCTAATATTTCATCAGTCTGACCGGAGAAAACATTAACTAAAAGCAAAAGAGGAAGATAGGTATTTAAGGAGTTTTCGGGCTAGAGCAGCTTTGGCTGGCGCCGTTGTTCCCGTCCTGGGGAGAGGCCCCCGCGTCCTGTCGTGTGGCCCCAGTGGAACGCACTCCCTTGTGGTCAGGCAGCGCTGGGACCTGCCAGAAGTCTCTGTGACAGCCTCCGTCCCTGAGCAGAAGCTCAAAATATGTTTTGTTGGGTTTGTCTTGACTTGTTGCTCTTGTGAAAGAAAGTCTCTTCCCCATGAAAATTGTGTGTTCCAGGTAAAGGATGCTTCCACCTGGGTTCTAGGAGGAGAAGGCTCAGGGACAGAGCGACAGCCTTGGCAGAGCTGAGAACCACACATGATCCCGGGGAGCCTTGCAGGTGATTTGGGACAAGCCTCTGAGGTTGGGGGGTGGTTTTGAGCCTGGCAAAGTGGGCTGTTCCTGCCCAGAAGTCTTCAGAGACCCCCTCCCACCTCTGCTGCTGTCCGACCTGCATGGACTTACTCACCACTTACTCTCAAGAGCCATGCTTTTGCTTTAAAAAAAAAAAAAAAATTTTTTTTAACGTTTATTTTTGAGACAGAGACAGCATGAATGGGGGAGGGTCACAGAGAGGGAGACACAGAATCTGAAACAGGCTCCAGGCTCTGAGCTGTCAGCACAGAGCCCGACGTGGGGCTCAAACTCAGGACCGCGAGATCATGACCTGAGCCGAAGTCAGCTGCTTAACCGACTGAGCCACCCAGGTGCCCCATGCTTTTGCTTTTTAATGCTTTATAATCTTCTGCTTTGAATCCTTCCCATGATCAAATCTTAGCTCAGACGTCCCTTTCTTAGCCAAGGTCCCTGCCTGTTTATAGGTAAGACGACCATGAAGTCGATTAGGATTCGGGGACCGGGGTCGGTGTCCAGGTCTGTCCTGGGACCCCTCGCTAGTCAGCATCTTTATCTCCAGACTGTGCAAAGTGGAGCTGGATCCTCCATTTATTTTCCACTCGTGAGTCTTTCCAACCCTTCCTTCCTGAACCGCACATTTAACACGGTCATCTTAGGAAAGCTAACTCCAATGAGACAATTCCATTTCTTTCATCATTCCTATTTTGCCAGGCTAGTCATGAAGGAAAGCTCTGAACTGCTTGGCCGTAGGAGCGTTGCCCTACTGGTCTGCTCCCTTCGCAAGTACAGCGCACCTACTGGGTGCCACTGTTGCTGCAATGAGCCGACAAAACTCAAATGCTCCACGAACGTCTGAACTGGGACAGGCTCCTCGGACTCGCTTTCCACCCTGCTTCCCGCAGAGCTGACAAGAGCGCCATGAGCAACCTGTTCTCAAAAGTGGTCGGTCTTAACTGCCTGGAAAGAGAGGGAAATGCTACCCCAGAGCTGGGGGCACCTCCGAGCCCGAAAACCCCACTGAGCGTGTGTCAGGGGAGAAAACAAAGTGAGGAAGGGTGAATCCAGCTGGGGAGGTGAGGTTCGCAACTTGGCTAGAGACGCGTGTCGAATTTGTAATCATAATGCCATCAGCAGGATCTGGCCGTGGTTTCATTCAACTTGCAGTCTCTGAGCACGATTCAACAACTGGTCAACATACTAAGAGAAGCGGTCACTAACTAGCTGGCTTGTCGTTGGGTAAACTTTGCTTCTCTGAACTTGGCCTCCCTCTGCGTGCATTGGCTCACAGATAGTTACAGGTCACGTGGTCTGGCACATCTCCATTGCTGCTTTCCACCAAAAGTTCATCATTTGAGGAACGATCGCATGTGGTAGGTTTGGGTGGCAGCTTTCATTCTACCATTTTCAAGTGCACTTGCAAGTTTTTCATACTGTAATGTTTTGGCATAGGTAGCACGGAACAACTCCGTGAAATGAGGTCTTTTATCTGAGGAGCCAAGCGCAAGACGACAGGGAGGCAGGGGCTGTTTGCGCTGCCCTACAGAGTGAAGCCGCACAAACACAAGTTTGGAGAAGCAGCTCTGTGTCAACCTGCCAGCAGCCATGCCCAGTGGGGGAAGCTCGGTGGGTGGGGGGGGGGTAGGGGGGAGATGGGACGGATGTCACAGGACTGCTGTTGGAGCAGGATGATGCTGACAACTGGAAAAGTCACTAATAACCAGATGGAAAGACAAAGCTAGGGAAGGGCGTAGAGGGGTCACCTGCCGGTCTCAGCGGCTGACGGGGGAACAGGGTTTATGTCACATGGAGGATGAGGTCAAGACCAGCGGGAAGACACTCACCTACAGCCATCTGTCCTTCCGTGAAAAGGCAAATGGGCTGTGAAGAAGCATCAGAGAGCACCATGACTTCACGTTCTCAGAAACCACTTGACTTAGATTCATCTCAAACACTTCTGATTCACCTGACGCAAGGCAGTAAAGCCGAAAGACATCTGGAAGCGGTGTGATGCGACAGTGTGTCCCCCCGGGTGCGAGGGTTGGGGGGGATGGGGGACAGAGCCCTGTGGGTGAGGCAGCTGTAGACCAGGAGACAGGCTCCGGAAGGAGCTTCTCCTGCAGCTCACTGGGGCCAGAGCCGGTTCTATCTGGGAGTATTTGTGATATGTGCTATGTCCGAATTCTGCAATTTGCCTTCCAGAAACGTTTAGGTCACTTCTTGACCAGAAACTGAAAGGACACTCTCCACAAAGAATGGATCACGGTATGCCCGCACCTGAAATTCTGCACTGTCGGAAGCTGATGAGGAGTTTCCAGCCAACCCTAGTTCATGCCGGCAGGGCCGTGGATACGCCTGGAAGCCTCCAGAACAAAGGTGGTAAACAAATCGTGCGTTAAAGGGTCACTGTTAGGAAGCACGTGGAAAAGCTCAGAAGGTGTTTTTGGCGATAGAAAGAGTGGGTTTTCGTCCCTGCCCAGAACTATACACACGAGGCTGATCCCTGAAGCAGCAGGTCTCCTAAGGGGCCTGGCGTGAAATGCCAGCCTGATAATTGTCACCATGAGTCACTGGGTTCACGGTATCTTTCAGGTCCAGTTGGCAAATGTGCTTGGGAGGAACGATCTTTGATTGAGGTACACAAATTAGCATTTCTTCTCCTTCTACAGAAGGAGGGAGACAGCTCTGACACACGAAACAAGTGGAAGAATGTGTTGAAAAGAGGGATGACTCTTTGTCTTCAAATACACAGATTTTTTTTCCTGGCTTTTCGAGACCCCGGGGATGAATGTGCAAGAGGTACTCACATCAACAATGGTTTTGCATGAATTGTACTTGTATTTAAAATACGATCACCTTTAAAACTAAGTGGGGGGAGTCAGCCTACAAATAACACATAGCTCAGCGGTGCTCTGGGCAGAAGTTGGGCACATCCAAGCGTGAGAATATAATCTGTCTTTCTTGCATTTCTGCAGAGCGGAACGGCCTCTGACTGTTCAGACCCCTTCTGAAGACTGCTTCTCTACCTTCCTTCACAAAGAGTTTTGGCAGGTTTGAGTTTCTGGCTGAGTGGTTCTGCTACTGTGCTTCCCATTCAGGATTTTCTATCAAGTTCTACTGTCTTGCTCATCAGAACCAGGATACTCTATGAGACTTGTATTTGTCACTTCACGTTTTAGAAGTTCAGAAAGGGTAGCAGGTGAATAAATCTTTTTCTAAAGGAAAAGAATATTAGATTTGGGGGGGGTCTCATCACTGATAAAAGCATGGAGGACCAAGTTTCTCTTTTTTTTTTTTTTTGGGTTAAAAATCGATTTTTCATGCCATTTACCTAAAATACCATATAGGGTTATGGGATGACAAAGCATCTGTCAAAGCGCAGCACTTATGTAAATAATAGGAGGAAATCTGGGAGTGAGAGGTGTCTGCTTGGAGTTTCGTTGGAACGTCTGGCTCTTGTACTGGGCGCCCGGCTTCATGCCCCTGGCTTCGTTTCACTTGAGCCACATCCATCTGACAGCCTCTCCTGGCCCCTCACGCTGCTGAGAAATAAAATTCCATTTCACATTCACAGCGTCCATCACTCCATCAAGTAAAGCAAATACCATGGCCTTTGTAAGAACTTAACGCACAGACTTTTATGGACCTGGGTCACATCATGTTTCCTACAACCTCCCGTCAGGGACCTGGTCTCCAGTGATTAGGCTGTGACACGTATTTAATCCTGCCCCCGGCACCAGCGACACACAGGAGAGACTCAGTATTTCAGCTTCCTCAAGGAGAACACAAACACAAGAACAACAAGGGAAACCATTTAAATTATTTAGAAGAAAGGTACTTCAGGGCTTTAAAACTACTAGTCACAGAACTGTATTACTGTTAAAGAATAATGAACATTTAAGACTTCGTATAAAGCCACGGTAATCGAGACAGGGTGGTATTTATGAAAGGACAAACATAATACTGGAACAGAATAGACCCTCATAAATACAGGTGACTAGTCTTTGACAAAAAAGCAAAGGCAATACATCAGAGCACAGTCTTTTCCACAAAGGGCACAGGAACAACTGGGTGTCCACATGCAAAGAAATGAGTCTAGACCCGGACCTTCCAGGCTTCACGAGAATTAACTCAAGATGGATGGCAGACCCAAACGTAAAATGCAAACTTTAAAACTCCTGGAATGTAGAAGGAAGTCCAGGGGACCTCAGCTTGGATGATGACATTTTAGATCCAACACCAAAGGTGCAATCCATGAGAGAGAATGGACAGGCTGGACATCATTAAAATGAAAACCTTCTGTTGTGCCAAAGACACGGTCGAGAGAATGAGACAAGACACAGACTAGGAGAAAACACTTGCACAAGACACGTCTGGTAAAGGACTACCATCCAAATACAGACACACACACACACACACACACACACAGACTTACAACTCAACTGTGAGAACACAAACAACCAGATTAACAAATGGGCCAAAGACCTAAAGGGCACCCCACCAAAGATGGCATTCACGTGGCAAGTAAGCACATGAAAAGACGCTCTCCGTCACATGCCGTCGGGGAAATGCAAAATAAAATGATATCACCACACACGTATGACGACGTCCCAAGTCTGGGAAACTAAAACCACCACGTGCTGATGAGGACGTGAAGCAACGAGGAGCCGGTGGGAACACAAGATGGCACAGCACCTGGGAACAGTTTGGTGGTTTCTCGCGAGACATACTCTTGGCATACGGTCTGGCAATCACTCCCCTTAGTGTGCACGAAAGGAGCTCTGCACTGATGTGCACACAAACACCTGCACGGGGATTTTACGGCAGCTTTACTCATAACTGCCAAAATTTGGATGCAACCGAGAGGTCTTTCAGTAGGTGATGGATAAGTGAACTGTGGTCCATCCAATGATTATTCAAAAAGAAATGAGCTCTCAAGCCAAGACATGGAGGAAGCTTAAATACTTATTACTAAGTGAAAGAGTCCAATCTGAAAAGGCTCCATACTGTAGGATTCCTACCACAGGACATCCTGGGAAAGACAACTTTGGAGACAATAAAAAGTCAAAAGATCAGTGACTATCAGGCGCCGGGATGAGACTCTCAAGGCAGCGACACTGCTGTGTGTGATCTTGTAACAATGGAAACTGTCATTATACACTTGTCCAAACCCATAGAATGTACAGCAGGCGTGAGCTCTAATGTCAACTATGGACTTTGGGTGATAATGACGTGACATTGTAGGTTCATGGATTGTAACAAATGTATCATCAGGTGGGGGACGTTGACCAGGGGTGCTGGGGTTATATGGGAAATATTTGTATCTGCCTCTCAATTTTGCTGTGAACCTAAAACTGCTCTAAAAATTGTTTATTATTTTCTAATTGCAACCACTTAAGGTCCTGGTCTAGACTTTCACTGGACAATGGATCTCCATCCCACATAGATGCTCTCTCTCTTGAACAGAGGTTTACAACCTGGAGACTATGGTTTTCACTTCCAGGTGAGGCTGACATGATGAATCAGATTTTGGAAACTCACCTCACAGAACGGGACAGAAACCGGAGATACACCAGGAACTGGCAGAACTTATCTTTGAAAAATCATGCCTTTCAGGTTTTCATCACCGGTCAGACTACATCAGGCCTGCTACTGGGGAAAGGATCAGCGGACACTGTCCTGAGTTTTTCCAAAGCACTTTTGCTGGAGTTTCAGAGCAGTGCAGATGTATGCCTCTGGGGTCCTTCCTCAGATCCTGCTTCAATCAGCCGAAACGCCGTGGCGATGAGACACAAGGTTTACTACCTCGGACACGGTATGTGTTGGTATGTAAAACAGTGAGCTATGGATTTTCTGACCTTACAATTACTGTCCTGTGATGGCATTGAGAATAACAGTGCAGAGGGTGAAGGCTTAGCGGGTGTGTGAGTGCGCGGCTCTTCGCAAATTAGAAGAATAAGAATTTTTATAGAAGTTGTGACTATGATAAAAGTCAGAGTTTGTAGGGGTACCTGGGTGGCTTGGTTGAGCGGCCGACTTCAGCTCAGGTCAGGCTCTCGCGGTTCGTGGGTTCGAGCCCCATGTCGGGCTCTGCGCTGACAGCTCGGAGCCTGGAGCCTGCTTCGGATTCTGTGTCTCCCTCTCTCTCTGCCCCTCCCCTGCTTGTGCTGTCTCTCCTCTCTCAAAATAAACATTAAAAAAAATTCATTAAAGTCAGTTTGTAAATTGGAAGAGAAAAATCAGACTGAAATGCAGATATGTAGAGACTGTAGGTGATTTTAAATTTACATTTCTACTTTTATATTTAGTGTTATGTATATATTTTTATATTTCCTAAAATGACTATGTTTTATCAGGGGAAAAAAACTTCATTGTATATAAACTACCTTTATATACAGTGTTGTTACACATAATATTCTTTAAGTATGTTTCCGTTTTGCTAAAATGTATAAAGACACGTTATAAATAGCACACAGGTATAACCATACAAACGTGCTGATAACGTACTTAGATAAGCACAGAAATTGTTGCTGTAAGCTGAACGTCGAATGTTATTAGCATACGTCATTTCCCTGAACATAATCACCCTGATGTGTACGCGAATCCAATAGAATCAAGATTAGAATTTTAATAAATTACATTAATAAACTGTCAAAATTATACAGGTCTTCTTTTAGCTTTATATTAATTTTTTTAATGGAAATGCTTTCTAAAGCATTTCTCACATCAGGCTGGTTTTATAATTTTGGGACTCTGGGTATAAAGTGGGAGACTGGGATTATAAACTTGGATATACGTATCCTTACCCGCCTGCGTGTATTACTGGAATCCGACATCCAGACCAGCACAACAGCAGCATCTCTACACCACAGACCCGGGTTGGAACAGTCCTCCTTGAGTAAAACCAAAAAGATGCCCAGTTTGCGTGTGGCCTCCAGCAAAAGGAGGTCTTCAGGTAAGCGACACGTGACCTCTAGGACTAAGGTTTATGGAAAGGAACTGGCAAAGATCAGTGGGGGCACAAGACGTGGAGAGCCAGGAGGGGACACAACCAGGCACCAGCTGGCTGGTGGTGAAGAGTCCTCAAGAGGCCTGGCTGGTCCTCAAGAGTCTCACACGAACCCTCACGAGACCCCATTTTACACTGCCACTTAGAGAAAGCTCAGGAAAGATAGAAAAACAGAAGTGCAGTTCGTCAGGGAACAACTGGCCCGACGTAAATGTTATAACCCACACCGTTTTGACTCTAAGTAATTACCCGGGAGCTTCGGAATCGGCACAGGGAAGAAACGTCAGCCCCGCTCTCTCCTCCTGCCCCATTCCGAGGGGGGCTGCTGGGGAGGGCCATCTGGGGGGCTTCGTTCCTGGGCCTCTGCAGTCAGGCGGGGCCGAGTGACAGAGAGAGGCTTGTGCGTGGTGGACACGGGGATGTACACCAGTGCGGGTGGGCCACCAGACCCCAGCGTTCCCTCGTCTCCCACCCCCGGCTGGGCACGAACACCGGGCTGGAAAGGTGAAGGAACAGCCCCCAGCCTGGGCCTGAGTTATCCCACGATCAGGTACCACTTGCCCAAAGTCGTTAACAGGCCCAAATTAACATCAGAGGCACTTAGGACACCCGGGGGCTCAGACAGGTTGAGCATCCGACTTGGGCTCAGGTCACAATCTCGCAGTTTATGAGTTCAAGTCCCGCATCAGGCTCTGTGCTGACAGCTCGGAGCCTGGAGCCTGCTTCGGATTCTCTCTCTACTCCTCCCCTGCTCAGGTTCTCTCTCTGAAAAATAAACATTTAAAAAAAAAAAAAAGCATTGGAGGCACTTACATTTCAAGGTTTACGACAGCATCCAGAATTCACTCATGTAAAAACGGGAAGCAGAGTGCCGACACGGAAAGACGCTGAGGGACACGGCGTTGATGTCAGCCAGAGGCGTAAGGCACTGGTTCGAGATCGGTGTTGCACTGTGGCCAAAGCATTTGGTGAGTCTGCACAACCAGACGCTGGCCAGGCCCAAAACTCTCAGGAAGAGACCAGAAAACAACCGCATCAGCATGTGCCGGTTGGTGCTGGCTGCATTCAGTCTCGGTTAGAAAAATCAAATGAATTCAAACACGAATCAGCAGCTCCCCATCAGAAGTGAAGAAAACATGGAGACCAAACGCTGGGGGCCCTGCAGGGTTGGAAAAGGTGGTTGCTTTGAGGACCCAGTGAAAGGGCAAAGTGAGAAAGGTTTCCAGTGACCCCTCGTGGGCTACGCCAGGAGGCTGAGATCAGACAGAAGGCGTAGCTGCCTCACCTGCTTGCCCCCTACCTCCCAGCCTCCTCCGCAGCGGGGCGGCTGTGTGATTCAGTTCCTCCACTGGAAGGTAGACAGGTGGGTGCCAGCACCCCCAGACCGGAGCCAGCATGCTCTCACCCCACCCTCTGCTGCTGGAATGTCAACACCCAGTGTGGTCTGAGAAGGCAGAAGTGCCTCTGTCATTCTGGGTCCCTGAGTGTCTGTGTGGAGCAGAGACCCACCCCCGTCAGACAGACCCCCATCTACTTGGCGTTAACTCTGATTGTGTCAAGCCAGTAAATCAACGAACACTCAAATTCCCAAGACTAACGAGACGGATTTCTTTCACAAAGGTTTTTAAATTGTAAAAACGGACAAGCAACATTGAGTTCACCCGTGTGCTGTTTAAATACGCATATGTCCGGGAGATCGCCGAACGCGTCACGCCAGCAGGGGGATACCATTTATTTACAATTGTTGGGACTAATTCTTGTTTTGTGTGATTTTCTAAAATGTGAATAAAGCCATTTCAGAGTAATTTCCACAATGACAATTTGTATTCAGTAAATACCGTTATTTAAAATAAAGATCCAGGGCGCCTGGGTGGCTCAGTCGGTTAACCGTCCGACTTTGGCTCAGGTCCTGATCTCAGAGTGAGTTTGAGCCCCACGTCGCACTCTGTGCTGACAGCTCAGAGCCTGGAGCCTGCTTTGGATTTTGTGCCTCCCTCTCTGCCCCTCCCCCACTCACACTCTATCAAAAAATAAACAATTTTTTTTTTAAATAACTATCCTCCTAGAGAACACAAAATGCCACACATACATATTTTTGTCTTTGTTCATTCTGCCACAGGTGAACCACTGTCTCCACAAGTTAACCAATCAGCAAAGTCCACGAAGTCCCACCATTTTGTTTCCTCTCCTGCTTTTCATGCCTTGGTTCCTTCAGATCCTCGTATTATCACTATTTTTTTTTCACCGAAAGTGCACTCTTCCACCCCCATCACCTATTTCCCCCATCCCTTCACCCACCTAT